CCTTTCTGGCCTCCTCCAGCTCGGCCGCTTTTGCCTCAGCTTCTGCCGCTGCTTGCCTTGTTACTTTCCTGAGCTCCAGCACTTTCCGATGAGTAATTTAGTTTTTCTAAATGGCCTGACAAAGCAAAGATTTCCCTTTAGCCGAAGTAAAAGTTGAAAAAAGAAAAGTAGACAGAGAGGCGACCGAAGTCACTTACCAGAATCATGGATTTTGTCGTTGACCGGATGGCCTTTAGCTCGGTGTTCAGTTGTTTTTGGTGGTGCTCCATGTCTTTGGGGAGGCATACACCCTTGGCCAGATTGATGGCCAACAAGTGGTCTTTCTCAGCAACAACCGAGTCTGTATCTAGGATGTCTCGGTCGTTGAAAGTAAGTTTTGGGGCCCAGCTGCCGGTAGTTCGATCAGAAGGTTCCGGTTGGGGGCTCAGTGGCAAGCTCGGTGGAAGTGCGGGTTCTGCTTCATCAACCAAAATTTGTTCGGTTTCAGCAGTCCGGGCGCGCTTGGTTCGGCGGGAAGAGGACGGCTGTTGAGAAGGGAGGACTAGTCTAATCTCGGGCAAGGATGGGTCCGGTTCTGGGGTGTCTTCAAGAAGGAAGTCAGTTACCCTGGCTTTCCGACGACTGCTGTATCGATAGGTCGGCTCGAATTGCAGCAATTTGGCCCAGCTACGTTCAGGATATCGTAGTGCGGCTCCCAAAGTTGCAAGGTTTGGATAACTGTATAGAGAGTGAAGGTGGGCAAAATCTGCGAGAAAAGACAACTGTTAGTCCGGCTGAAACATTAAAAAGCCGAAGTAAAAAATGCAAGGAAGAAGACCGAAGTTAAATTACCGGGCTCTCCTTTTTTCCAATTTATAGGTCGGCCAAGAATTTGGGCTTGAAAGTCCTCAAAGTTCCCAGAGACCCAAAAAAAATCGTCGTCGTTTAAGTCTTTGTCCGGTGTATATTTTATTATCTTCTCTCGGCGGCGACGTATTCTAAGGTAATAAACCCATCCATCCTCTTTGGAGCCAATGGAATATTGATGAAAAATTTCGGCCAGGCCAAGGTTTAGTCCGGCTTGGCGGTTCAGTTCGGCAATCCCCATAATGATGCGGTAGGAGTTGGTGGACAGTTGGGTAGGGCATAATCTAGCCTGCCTAAGAAATTCACAGATCAACGGTTGAACTGGGAACCGTAGTCCGGTTTCTATTATGGATAGAAGGGTAAAAGGGACGAAGCCTTCGTTATCCCAGGGAATGACATCTTTTTCGGTCAAAACCAAGTGGACATCATCAGGTATGTTATAGTCCTTCCTAAATTCGGCTAAGCCGCCTGGAGTGTCTACTAGGTGCCTATACTTCCCCATTTAAGGAATAAATTATGAATAAGTTATGTCGGTGCAAGAGCTGCGCTCAGAAGCTCGGTTGAGCGCACGGAGTCTCTGGGCAACCTAAGTCTGCAAAGTAGAAAACAAAGGGGTTAAGCACAGATCATTGGACCGTGCTACAAATTAAAAGCAAGGTAAAAGAGCCCTAACTTTAATCAGTTCAATTCTCAGTCAGTTATCAGTCATTATCAGTTCCGTTTAACAGTAATCGGTGATTATCGGTAATCAATCAGTCGTTAATCGGTAAACAGTATGAGGGTTATTACACTCGGTTTGAGCAAGGTTCTTATGAGCCAAATCTTGGCGGCATCTCGGCATACTGGCCTTGGATACAATTTTGTTAGACCGGTTCATAGTCTAGGGGCAGCTTTCTGAGTTCGGTCTAAAAAACTAAGAAAGCTGGCTCAGCCCCAAAGGCCTAAATCGGTTGAATTTGGAGTTTTGTTATTTCGGTTGAGCCTCTAGGGGCAGCTTTCTGAGTTTTGTTTAGAAACTAGGAAAGCTGGCTTAGCCCCAAAAGCTTAGCTCGGTTGAAGACCGAGGTTCCTTATTTATTAAAGTCAAACTTCGTTCGATGGGTTTATCTCGGCTAAAGTTACTCAAGAGTTGATTACCTACTGAAAGTACTGATTTCTGAAGTTCTAGTTCGGTTATTATCTGAAGTGATCTACCTATATAGGACAAACAGTATTTTAGTTCGGTTGCTACTTGATTTTGGATTTAAGACTAATTTTCTACAGAATTGGTCTTACGCGCATAAGATCTGTTAATGTTTTTTCAAGGAGATATAGAAGTGAAGCAGAAATCGAAGAACACGTTTTGCAAAAATACAGTAAACCAAATGCATAAAGCAGATACGAAAGCAAAAACAGAAGAAGATGATGGGCTTACTTACCAGATTGAAGAAGAGGGAACTAGAGTTGGAGCAGTGGCAACAATGAAAAGCACGAACTTGGAAGCAAAGAAATGGAGGCACAGAAAGAGAAGATAGGATAGATGAATGTAGGTGGATGATTGAGAAAGGAAGGGGTGTTTTGTGAAAAGAACGAGCGGCAAAAAGGGGCGGGACTGTTCAAAATTTTCGTGGTACGAGGGCGGCGTGACAGCTGTTCATAGCCTATCAGAGCCTGCCACGTGTCATTGGAAAGTGAAGCGTTACAGTCAGTGATTGAAGAGACGTTTTGACCGAACGCGTAGAGCCGGAGTAAAATAAGCTCAGCTGGAGAGGCTAAGTGATTTTTTTCGGCTGGAAAAGCTTATAGACGTTAGCTCGGCTGGTCACTAGGTAATCCCAATCATGCCGTGCAGATGGAATTAAGGGGCAATTGAGAGGGTAATTTTTGGTGAAAATTGGGCCGAGCTATGAAATGGACTTTATGGCCCCAAAGTATGAAGGACCAGGTAAAATGGGCCGAGAAGTTACTCCGGCCCATGAGAAATACAGTTACTTCAGTCAAAGGAGGTGAAGTTACTTCGGCTTAGGAATTGTAAAGCTACTTCGGTTTGGACAACTTGAGTTAGTCCGGTCTCCGAGTTAGTCCGGTCATGACGTATTCTGGATAGATCGGTCAAGACCTTGCTACTCGGTAGCTCGGTCCCAACATATCATGGTTCATGCAAGGGAGAACCAAGATGAGTAAATGGAAGGGCCGAACTAGGGATAATTACTCCGGCCCATGAGAAATACAGTTACTTCGGTCAAAAGAGGTGAAGTTACTTCGGCTTAGGAATTTTAAAGCTACTTCGGTTTGGACAACTTGAGTTAGTCCGGTCTCCGAGTTAGTCCGGTCATGACGTATTCTGGATAGATCGGTCAAGACCTTGCTACTCGGTAGCTCGGTCCCAACATATCATGGTTCATGCATGGGAGAACCGAGATGAGGAGTGAAAGGAAGGGCCGAACTAAGGATAGTTCGGCCTACCTCGTGGCTCAGCTTAGCCAGTTTACTTCGGTTAAATAGTAGTTCGGCCGTAGTTAAAACCATCCCACTTGGTTTAAGCAGTGGGGGGGTGTTTAAAAGGATAAGCATTATCCTTTAGGAGTATGAATCCTAGGAGGACTCTGCATGGAGAAATAACAGTCCTACTAGGATTGTGCCACTTGAAACCTATAAAAGCTCACAAGCATCACCTTGGAGGAGGTAGCATAACACAACATACAATTTTGCTTCTCGAATACATTGAGCTTTGTCTATTTGTCAAGTTTTCTGACTTAGGCATCGGAGAGGTTTCCGGCACACACCCGCCGGCTAGCTCACGTTTGTGTTTTCAGGTGACAAAGCGACATCGTACGGAGAAGCGTGGACTTAGTCAACAGGATTATACGAGGAAAATTATTTCTTCCCCGTACAATAGGCTTCTCCGTGATTTTCACCTCATTACAAGCTAACTATTTTTTATGCGTCATTCTGTAATATTGCACTCATAGAAAAATCCAGAGAAATTTACAAACTTATATACACCTTCAAAATAACAAAAAACACTGCATTGTCCATATAAACTGAAAGAAAAAACACAAAAAATAACTTTTCCTTAGAGAAACAAAAACTTCTATTCATCTTCTACAAACATATAATTTTCTCTGAATTACAAACTGAAAGTGAGTAACAAACTTACAATTTTCTCTAAACTACAAATACAACTCCAGAGAAATTTATGAACTTACATTCACTTTCTCATATTCTATCTGCATTAGAAACTTCTAATAATATGTCCATATGCACTTATAATTTCCTTTGGACTACACAAACAAAAGTGCAGAAAATGAAATTTCTCTGGTTTGAAAAAATATAGAACAAAACTTATCATTGTTCAGCATGTTGATAAAAAAATAGAGCACGAAAAATGAACTCTAAACATCAAAATCACCTACACTGTAAACACAATTTGAAATTGATCAAAAAACAAAGAATGAAAAATTAATTCCAAAAATAAAAATCAACTCTATCAAGCTGGCCTCTCTCTAAACAAAAATTCAAAACAAAAATCAAAATTCATGTGGAATCTAAATCGAAAACAAACCTAATTCAACTCCACTCAAAAACCTACGCGATCAACACACTGTCAACACTCTTTCAAATTGATTAAAAAACAAATAATAAAAAATTAATTCCAAAAATAAAAATCAACTCTATCAAACTAGCCTCTCTCTAAACAAAAATTCAAAATAAAAATCAAAATGCATGTGGTTCTCCATCGAAAACAAACTTGATTCAACTCCACTGAAAATCTACGCGATCAACACACTTTAACACCATTGAAATCTCCGACGAAATCTCCACGATCATAGCAATCTTTCTCGTCAACTCCACTGAAATCTTTGACGAAATCTCCACCATGAAATCTCCACTGAAATCTTCGACGAAAACTCCGACGAAATCTCCACTGCAAATTCGGTTTCCAAAATTTATCAGTTAAGTCAACAATATAATATTCAAACAAATTTATATTATAAAGGAACGGTAATTTAAGTACTTTATAACCTAAAATAAATTTGAGGAACTTCAACCATCAAAATATATTATTTTGGACCTCTTCTCCTATTAAAAGTACAGGAGGAACTTTAAATCAATTTTTCCAATTGAAAAGGTATATTTGTAATTTACCCAAAAAAATAAAATTAAATAATTACAAAAAAAAAGGCTCGTGTGCCACGCCCAAGCCTCTCTCCTTCTTATCCGCCAGGTCCTCTCTCTCCGTCTCTCTCCATACTGATCGTCACACTCTCTCTCTCTAGTTTCTCTCTCCACTCCAAATGGATCCTCACAAGGTACCGATTCTAACTCTCAAACCCTTTTTTGATCCCCTTCTCCTGAAACATTTTGTTAGTGGATTTCGTCAACTGCTTCATGTCGGCTTGCCATTTCATAGTTTGACTTTCGAGTTTGTACCTTTGTTTCCATTTATAGCATTTTTTTTAAAATTTTAAAAATGGTTTTTTTTTTCTTCAAATTCCCTCTCTGGTCTTGTCGAATTATCTTGCTATTATTCATACACACACTTTGAATCATTTGGTGCAGTATCGCCCATCAAGTGCATACAATTCCCCATATTTCACTACAAATTCTGGTGCTCCTGTTTGGAACAACAATTCATCTCTTACTGTTGGAACAAGAGGTATAGAGATGTCAATCCGTGTGCTTGCATATGATTTTTGTTTGTCTTCTTGCTCACTTAACAAATGGGTTTAAAATTACAGTTGGTTTGGATTGAGTGAGTTGATGTCAAATGGAAAAACCAAATAACTTTTTCTTTGTTTGGTTTACTATTTATGTGAGAAATGATGAAAAATAGAGAGTATTCTCTTATGTCCTTTATGGACAAGGTTTTATTTACAACAAAAGTGGTGAGATTTGATGAGAAATGGTTTTGTATATTTTTTAATATCGAGACTGTCCATTAAAATTATAGGATAAATTACAAATATTTGCTTAAAATACGGATTGCACTACGTCATTCTAGAAATTACAAAAAACACTCTTGTCAAAAAAATTTATTTAACTGAATTAATAGGAAATTACTATTTTATACAACAATAAAATTATTTGAAATGTTAATTGAAACATATTTATGACATCATTAAAAATTATTAATCGACTTGATGATTTATTAATGAAATAAGTCATTTATTATGTGATTAGAAACGTAAACGGATGGAATGTAATTTCTAGAGCTAGATGGGCAATCCGTATATTAAGCAAACCTTAAGGGTGTATTTGTAATTTACCAAAAATTATATGATAAATGATGTACCTAATTTCTTACCTAATAATTTATACACATACTCCAGTGTGTGTAAACTATTAGATAGAAAATTAGGTATCTAGCATTGCCCATATCACATGCTTTGCTTTCTTACTCATCTCATCTAAACATGATAGTGAGAAAACTCAACTATTTCTTTATTTTCTCACCTAGATGAGAGACTAGAATCATTTATTGTCTTTTCTCACCCAAAGATCCAAATGGAGTTAGAGTGAGGAAAGGATCTCAGACATTGGTATGTGATTAGAAACGTAAAGGGATGGAATGTAATTTCTAGAGCTAGATGGGCAATCCGTATATTAAGCAAACCTTAAGGGTGTATTTGTAATTTACCTAAAATTATATGATAAATGATGTACCTAATTTCTTACCTAATAATTTATACACATACTCCAGTGTGTGTAAACTAATAGATAGAAAATTAGGTATCTAGCATTGCCCATATCACATGCTTTGCTTTCTTACTCATCTCATCTAAACATGATAGTGAGAAAACTCAACTATTTCTTTATTTTCTCACCTAGATGAGAGACTAGAATCATTTATTGTCTTTTCTCACCCAAAGATCCAAATGGAGTAGAGTGAGGAAAGGATCTCAGGCATTGGTGATTGGTTTTTTCTTTCTGATGTTGATGTGGTTATGCAGGAGTATATTCGAAATTTACTTTTTTAATAAGCTAAACCAGATATCTCTGTTCATGCTGTTATCTATGAACCTCATGTGTACAATGCAAATGCACACACACAAACACATATACTATGCATCATACGAGCACTCTGAACATTGCTTTTGTATACCTTTTTAGCTCTCTTTTTTTTTTTTTTTTTAAATTAAAAAAAAAAGAAGGTTTTTTTTTTTTGTTTTTCATGTTAGCAACATGTGCTTTCATTATTCTTTGAATCTTTAAATATTAATTAACACAATTTCTTTTATTTGGCGACTTCCTATATGTGCACTAGGGTTTTACATTTGCTTAATCCATTATCTAACACGTTTTTAATTTAATCTGGGTCATCTTTCTTGGAATGCTGAATATATTTAGCGTTTCCAAGCATTTATCTTAATAAAACGTTACTACCCCGCTGTAACACAGACACCCCCAACATTTGGAACTTGTAAGAGCCGGACGCTAAAGTCTCACCAACGTTACTACCATTACAATTTTTGCTAATGTCAGCCAAAATAATGGTTGATATCCTATATTGCTCTTCTCCAGTTTACAAATCATGTACACCTCTTGACATTTGGATTGTATTAGTTGGATCTAAAAGCCTCATAGATGCTATGAATGACAACATTTTTGTTGATGCCAACCAAAATAATGCATAATATCTCCTTATGTCACTTCTTTACTTTGTTAATGACAATAAACAACAAAAATAACAGTACTATAGAGATTGCCCCTGTTGCATTTGCCACATGAAAATTTCAATTTGCAATGTTTAATTCGCGACTTTCAATTTACAATTTATATATGGCTAGAGTGGGTCAATGCGTGGTGGAAGTGGGTTTGTGTGTATGTGGAGGTAGAGTTAAGGATGGCTTGTGAGTGTGGTGGAGGTGGAGGTGTGTGACAATGATGCAGGACGTTTTGTGAGGAGCTAGCACTGTTCAGCTATTGGTCAGGAGGACTTTTATGACAATAGAATAAACTGATGAACTTAGGAGGTGGGGGTGTTTGGGTAAGGTTCTCTTTTAGTTTGCTCATATATATATTTTTTTAATCCACAAAACAAGAACAAAATAAACTAATGGGTTAACGAGAAATTTTGCTAGAAAGATTAACATTGATGGTGTTTTAATGTTGATTGGGGTGTGGATGATATTATTTCATATGTCATGAAGTCTCATTGATATATTGAAATGTAGGAGGTGTCTGTATTTTTGCTAAATGTCAGGTGGTGTTTTGTGGTTTTAAAATGAAGTGAAGGGTAAAAGAGTCTTTTCATTGGAAAAATTAATGGTGATGGCCAATATGGCTGAGGGATGATACGACTTCCAAATATCATGGGTTGTTTGTGAATTTTATTGGTAAATTTATGTCGTGTTGAAAAATGTGTGGCCTTAATCTTTTATTTATTCATTAATTTGGATTAAAACCATTATTTGTTCTCCTTTTAGTTTCAGTTGATATGGGCCCATTGGTTTTTCTTAACAGGCCCAATTCTCCTTGAGGATTATCATTTGGTGGAGAAACTTGCCAATTTTGATAGGGAACGCATTCCAGAACGTGTAGTTCATGCCAGAGGAGCTAGCGCCAAAGGGTTCTTTGAAGTCACTCATGATATTTCTCAGCTCACTTGTGCTGATTTCCTTCGTGCACCTGGTGTCCAGACCCCCGTCATTGTTAGGTTTTCCACTGTTATACATGAGCGTGGCAGCCCTGAAACTCTGAGGGACCCTCGAGGTTTTGCTGTCAAGTTCTACACTAGAGAGGTGATCAAACTAGTAACTGATCAATTTTACTTATCAGGGTATTTTGCCTGGCTGGTTTTTCATCGTTCTCATTTATATATCATCAACATAGCTTTGTTTTCCATCCCTTATGCTTTGTCTCCTGTGAGTGCATATGTGATGTGATGATGATGGTTTTTGTTATATCACCTTTATTCCCAAAAGTTTAAGCTTTTCGTGAAAAAAAGGCTCAACAATGGATGTTAGGCTATCCAACACTCTCCTCACATGCAATCCCATCTTGCACATGGAGATGCAAACATACATATGTAGAGAGAAGTATAATGCAAACACGAAACAAATGCAAATGGAGAAACTTGAATCCAAAACAGGACCCAATCCGAGTTCTGATACCATATTAGATCACCAGCTGTCTCAAAAGCTTACAATGTTAAGAAATACTCCCCACAAACTATATCAAGTTATGCAACAAACTTCATGTCCTTGTAGTCATGCCACATGAGTGATGCGAGTTTGGAATGTCATCATGTTCTGTTATGAGTGGTCGTCCTTTCAATAGTGAAGTATGTCCCATGTGTCAGTGATCTAAGTCCTTTTTAACTACTATCCTTGTTGCCAAATGTTGTCCTAGATTTACCCATGCATAGGTCGAATGTTCTCCTAGCCGCACAGCTGCTCTCTGTTGAGGATAGTTGTGGGATCAAATATGCAAAAAAAAAAACAAAAAATTATCTTTTATTAATATGCTTGCCGCATAAGTGCTGTGTGTGTGAAAGAGTCATTTTGGATGGTGACATCATTATGCTCCAATACTGGTTGGCTGAATTTTTGTCCCTTTTGTGCATTTCCTTCTTAATGTAAGAGTTTTTGTTCATTTATTGTTGGCATAAGATAATATTTACACATGGTGCAGTTTTTTTCACTTGTCGTAATCAATTAGAAAATATAGCTCATGATTTATGAGCCCTTCATTTGTGAGGTTCACCTTAGCCATTTATGGCATTCAAAGTTAGCATTCATTAATTTGATCGATTTGTACCTTGTCATCAGGGTAACTTTGATCTGGTGGGAAACAATTTTCCAGTCTTCTTCATCCGTGATGGGATGAAGTTCCCTGACATGGTCCATGCTCTGAAACCCAACCCTAAGTCCCATATCCAGGAGAATTGGAGGATTGTTGACTTTTTCTCCCACCATCCAGAAAGCTTGCACATGTTCTCTTTCCTCTTCGACGATGTGGGTGTTCCACAGGATTACAGGCATATGGAAGGTTCTGGTGTTAATACCTATACTCTAATCAATAAGGCTGGCAAAGCACATTATGTGAAATTTCACTGGAAACCCACATGTGGAGTAAAATGTTTGTTGGAGGAAGAGGCAATCAAGGTAGGAGGATCGAATCACAGCCATGCAACTCAGGATCTTTATGACTCAATTGTCGCTGGCAACTACCCTGAGTGGAAGCTTTTCATCCAGACAATTGATCCTGACCATGAAGACAGATTTGACTTTGATCCACTTGATGTGACCAAGACTTGGCCTGAGGACATCTTGCCCTTGCAGCCAGTGGGCCGCTTGGTTTTGAACAAGAATATTGATAATTTCTTTGCAGAGAATGAGCAGCTTGCCTTCTGCCCTGCCATTATTGTCCCTGGTATTTACTACTCGGATGATAAGTTACTCCAAACTCGAATTTTCTCGTATTCTGATACTCAGAGGCACCGACTTGGACCCAACTACCTACAGCTTCCTGCAAATGCCCCCAAGTGTGCTCATCACAACAATCACCATGAGGGTTTTATGAATTTCATGCACAGGGATGAAGAGGTACTCTTTCTTCTCTCGCGTATAGATGCAAGACTTGTGTGGTTAAATAGAAGCTGTTAACATTTATTTTTAGTCATCAACATGCATCAAGGACCATAACAATTTGTGATGGTAACTGAGACTATATAAAAATTAAATAATATCTTTGTTTTCCCTACCAAATCGCTCCCCTCCTATCTACTATAATGAGCTATTTATGTTACCTTTGCTCTAGTTATTGATAACTGGTTTTCAGGTCAACTACTTCCCTTCAAGGTATGATTCGGTTCGCCATGCTGAGACTTTCCCCATTCCTCCTACTATTTGCACTGGCAAGCGCGACAAGGTTTGTTTCTCTTGCACTTCTATTGAACATATTAAAAGACTGGATGGATGGTTGAATAAGAATGGGCCAGCTTGGATTAATCAGCTTCTGTATTATCTGTTGAATATGTGGTTCAGCATACCTTTGACATGCTAGTTTTTCACGATTCTAATGGTCAAATAATTAAACTCTGGGTTTTTTGATGAAATGTACTGTTTTAAATTAGTTCAACTGATTATAGTTATAGGCTAACTGTTTCTTTGTTATCAGTGTGTCATTGAGAAGGAAAACAACTTTAAGCAGCCTGGGGAGAGATATCGATCATTTGCACCAGACAGGTATTTGTTTTTTGAGTTTATCGGACATTAGTCAATAATTAGCTTTTGTGGTGTTTCCTTATGTTCATTTTACTTATTTCTCCCTTATCTTTTATTAGGCAAGAGCGCTTTATCTGCCGATGGGTCGAAGCTTTATCTGACCCAAGGGTCACTCATGAGATACGCAGTATTTGGATCTCATACTGGTCTCAGGTAAATCTTCCATTCTTCAACAAACGAATCAACTATAATCAACACCCGCCACAACACCCCCACCCAAAATAAATAAACAAAAGGAGAAAAACGAAAAGAAAAATAATATATATAGAATTGGTGTTCATCATAATTTTTTATTTCAAACTGATGTCATTATACTTGCATCATGGCAAGCACGTCTGGTATTGGGGCAGTGCCATTTGACGTAAGTTTTGAAGTAAATAAATCTAACGCATTTTGTGTTGTGTGGGCACAGGCGGACAAGTCTCTGGGTCAGAAGCTGGCCTCTCGCCTCAACATGAGGCCAAGCATTTGAAGGTGAAGCCTTCACATGACGATATTTCAGTGTCGATGCTTCCAGCACTCACATGAATAAATCTGATTAGTGATAATCCTCCTGTATTCTAATACATCACTTTGACTTAAATCTACTGGCAATTCGCCCATTCAATAAAGTGCAGTGTTGTATGCAAGTTCTATTTAGCGTTGTACCATTGGTCCCCTGTTTCTAGTCTGTTTGTTTATTTGTATATTTTTCTTTTGATCATCATTATTTTGCCAAGGCTTTTCATTCATGCCTAATCACGTCCAGTTTGTACCAAAAATGAGTTAGGATGCTGACCCCCAGGTAAGTGACCTGAAAGTAAATTTTTTGGGAAAATTATTTTTTAAAAAAACCCATAGTTTGACACTAGTAATGAAATAACTTGTGTTTTTATTTTTATCAATTTTAATCTTAAACTTTTAATTTGTCTTCAATCTAAACTATTAACATATTTTTATTAAGTAAAATTGATAGAAAATGATGTTTTAGTCATTAAATTCAAAGAAAAAGACATTTTATGTACATTTATATTGAGTTTAAATTAAACCATAATCTTACATCAAAAATGATATTTTTTAATATAGGCAAATGTGATTTGATGAAAGAATTATTATTATTCAATCAATTTGATTTTTTACATATATGTTTTACTTGATATATTTTGAAAAGTGAACGATTCAAATAATTGAAATGGGTCTTAAAATGAGTCCAAAAAACACGCAACAATTGCCGCTGCCCTTATCCAAATCCTAAACCACCACCCCCCCCAAAAAAAAAAGAAAAAAAAAAGAATTGTGTATTATGGAATTTATCCTAAGTTAAATTGTACCATTTTCATGCTATATTATATTAAGTACTTAAAAAATTGCTCAAAAAAATATTTAGAAAATAAAAAAATATATATTATATTCGTCATGGGTGTGATATCCATCTCATTAATTTTAATTTCACACAACTCACTTCACTTTTGAAATAGATTTCGAAATAAACATTCATAGTACATAACATTTTTATGCGCTTTTTTGTCTAAAAAATTGACTATATTGTTTATTAGTTACTGTTATTTTTTCTTCATTTAAAGTGTAGGAGAGTGGGAGGAGACTTTTCAATTATTGGTTTGGCATAAATTATAAAAGTCAAAAAGTCAAAAAATTATTAAAAAAGTCAAAAAATCCAAACTATTTGGGAGAAGTTTGTAAGGGAAGCCTAGAGGTCAAAATTATTATTTTGCCCTTTAAATTCAACAACCCAAAAGTCAAGTCAAAAAGTCAAAAGAGTATAATGGTCATTTAATTTTTACGACAATATTTTATTACACATTCTCGTAAAAAATTAAAAAATTATTCTAAACATACATATATATATTTTTTATTTTTTTAATCAAAAAGTTAAAAAATACATTTTGCGTTAGTGATAGTTTTGGATTACACAAGTGGTAACAATGTTGCAATAAAAATGCTGCTGAGAGAGTTTGCAACAAGACTATCAAGCAGGAATCAATAGACCACTATAAGATAAGGGTAAAATGGGAAATAAAATAAAATAATTTGATGATGTGGAAAAAAAATATGTTACTGTTGCTAATTGTCAATTAACAATGAAATAAAAAACTGAACTTCAAGGTAGATTAGTATCATTTTAAAAATTAAGGAGAAAATTTCTATAATTATTATTGTGTGAGTGATTTTCCGATCACACTGCCTAACTCAGTATTCAGCTGGAGAGAACTGGCAGAATAGATGATACCTTGCTGACCAGAAAGAGAAGATTCCGGCGGTGGTTCGTCCACCCGAGGACACTCCGGCAATCAAGTCAATATATTTTTCAAAGATAATCAATAGTGTTAATCTTACTATTCAGAATATAAATTGCGTACCTTAGACCCATGGGGTGCGTATCTTTTATAGTTAACTCAATCATTGTCCCACTAGAAGCCTAGCTTCAATGGACTCTTGCTCAGTACTTTTCCCGGTCTCTTCAAGAGATAAAGATAAACTCCCTAAAAGGTTTATCCTTATCCATGCCAAAGTTATTCATCATTCTTAGGACTCTTGTCCCTTATCTGCTTATCTCAGATTCCGATATCTTCGGAGATAACCTCGGCCTTGCCGAGATCACCTCGGCGTCATGTCCTGGACACGTGACTCCTCGGCTGACACATCGGCGTCACCTTAGCCATGTGTTGGGAGTCAGAAAATATATCCCCACAATTATATATTTTAAGAGAGGTTAGTGTAATTTATCCAAACGTAACAGCCTCAATTACGAAAATACACGATTGAGATATATATATGTTCCTTGTGTACATCTTTGTCGTTAAAAATACCTCTATTTCATAAAGTTACCATATTTATAGGAAGGGTAAATTACAAATACACTCTCTGAAGTTTGCTTAAAATACAGATTGTTCCCTGTAGTTTGAAAAATTACAAATATCTCCCTTATTAGAATTTTTTATTTAACAGAATTAACTAAAAAAATGAAATTCATAGTTGCTATCTTATATAATAATAAAATTACCTAAATTATTAATTAAAACATATTTTTAACATCATTAAAAACTGTTAATTTACTTAATAATTTATTAATAAAAAGGACGATTTGTTATGAAATTAAAAATCTTAAAAGATGAAATGTAATTTTAAAAATTAGAAAAAACGATTTATATTTTAATCAAATCTCAAGTATATTTATAATTTATCCTTATTAGAACAATCAAGATTTCTGATTATTACTCTATTATCAAGAAACACCAAAAGATACTATGATACTTGTAATTATGTCCAACAATAAACACAAGAGTCACTGCAAAAGGACATAACGGTGATATACTGATGAAGCTACTGATAAAAGCCATCTTACGCTGAGTTCTTTATCCAAGAATTGTTTTTATTTATTTATTTATTTATTTTTTATCAATAGGGATATTTCATTCACAACCACTCTAGCTATGTTTAGTTGAGGAATTTAAAAATGAAAAAGGACAAATGTGTGTGAAATTAGATGAAATATAAATATATTTATTCACATTTCACCTATCTTTTCCATTTTATTTTCTAAATTCATTTTTAAATCTCCCAACCAAATATAACATTAAAGAAACCATTTTGGATTCTAATCATGTGAATCCTAACACCATTTTGGTTTGTAGGTCTCTCTTGAAAGATATAGGGTATCACTAGATCGTTCCTGTCGATGAAGTTTTTGAGTGAAAATTAGAATTACAGAGCCGTTTTGAAGCTTAATATACCCAATTTTAAGACTCTGGGTTCTTCTCATGGACTGTTTTGTGTCACAAACATCCTTAATGGGTTTCTCTTTACAGTGGGACTGTGGAATCCATCAATTCAAAAAAATTTATGCTTCCAAAATCGTGAGTAACCCAATTAGCATACTTCAATGTTTATGGATTTGGGTTTGATCAGGGTCGGCTGTGGCACCAAGCTATGGCTTAGGGCCCCTCAAGAAAGGGCCCTCCCTTGTTATGGGTAAGTGTAGCATGCTTGGTGTCTTTTAAGGTCAGAAAAAATTAAAAGGGCTCCAACTAACTAATAATACGTTGGCCCATTCAAAAATCTAAGCCCGATCTGCCCAAAATAAACTGACCTATTTGTATCTTTAAATGTGAAGGGCCTAGACTAGTTTTCTTTCTTGTTGTAGCTTGTTGCTACTTTGCCCAAGTTGTATTCTCTGGGTTGTTTATTTGCTCTGTAAGCATTACGTTTAGAGTAAATTACACTAACCTTTTCCGAGGTTTACCTTAATTATAAGATCTCCTTATAGTTTCAAAAATAACATAGACCTTCCTTACTTTTAAAAATAATTGTCAGATTCTCCCTTCCCGTCAAAAGAGCTTTAACGACGTTAACTTAATAGTAGAATTGACCATAACACCCTTCCATCCATTGTCTTCCACAAAGACCTAACCCACTTTGTATCATCATCATCATCCTCTTCACTCTACTACCTATTTGTGCCATTGTCTTCCTCACACTCTTCCCAAACCTCTCTTATCAAAAACCCAAGACCCAAACCAACAATAACCTCTCTTATACACACCAAAATCGCTAACTCAGCTTGCAATGGAACTCTCTATCCAGACCTCTCCACATTTCCAGATCTCTACAAAGTTAAACCAAATAAATCACATTTAGACTCTTAAATCTAAGAAAACACATGATATATGAATATATATATATATATAAATAAATATAGTATAGATATACAACACCATTCAGAACCATCATAGATCATTAATAAGCATGAAAGTGAAAGAGAGTGGAGACACTACAAGAAAAAGCACATTCAGCGAATAAATTTCCCGACTAAAAAAAATTTGGTCGTTGAAAGTATAGCTTTCAGCAACCAAAATAGTATTTGAGAGGGTGATTTATGATCTGGAATTGGGCCGAGGTAACGGCCGAGCAAGTTGAGAGCCCAACCGTGCATGGGGCCAAGATGATCGATCATCCACCCGGAGATGGGTCGCCAGAACTTGGGCCGGGCAGAAATTGGGCCAAGTGTATGCCGCCCCAGACCGTAAAGAAGCTGCTTGGCAAGGCAGTGCCCGGTTGGACCGAGCACTTTGATCAGGGATGGCTGAAGCCAGACAAGCTGAGTGACCGGCGCCCGGAAAGGCGTGGTCAACCGAGAAAACCGTTTGATCAACAGGAAGGCCGATCACAGGAGGTGCCCGGGCTAGGCTCTGCCGAGATGCCGCTTAGCCCGGTCCTCCTTGGGTTTAGCCAGTGAGATGCTTGGGTATGAAGCACAGCATGGCCACGGATAGAGCAGCTCGGCTGCCAAGCTCCAGCTGTGAAGGCAGGCAGTTGAGATTAGGTGATGTTCAGCAAGGTTTATGCTGACAGATGGGATAGCGGAGCCACGTGTCAGGAGATGACTGGGAGTAGATATGGGGCACAGAGGGTATATAAGCATGTCTGCGCCCCCCATACGCGATGGATGAACACTTTTTAAGGAATTTCTTACACTCAAACTTCTCTCTCTCTCTTTCTCTATCCTAAGGTGTGTGCTAACTTGATCGTCGGAGGGTTTTTCCAGCCACACACCGCCGGGTAGCTCACCATTCTTTGCGCGCAAGTGATCGGACATAAACGGAGCGCGGAAGAAAGGAGGGCGGGCTTGCCTGAATATCTGCTCCCCGCA